ACGAGGAAAAGTACTTTTTCCTCGTAAGCTCCTCGTAAATTTACTAAGGTCTTACGAGGAAATTGTTTCCTCGTAAGTTTTCGAGGAGCTTACGAGGAAATTTGCTTTCCTCGTAAGATCCTAGTAAAGGCTTAGTAAATTTACGAGGAAGAATTTTCCTAGTAAAATTTCCTAGTAAATGCTTTGTTTTCTTGTAGTGCTAATCCTGCGAAAATAAAAAAAAACAATGTTTTACAGCCATGTTCAATGGTGTGAACTATAGAGTCCATACTATAAACCAATAGAATGGAATGGACATACCAGGAGGTTCACACATAAATGGAAGCTCAATACGCTTCATAGGAAGCGGTGTTGCCATCGCAGGGTCAGACAAGGACTTCCCTCCATTAAGTCGAATCAGTAAAGGCATAAGGACTATAATAGGCTGCAGTAAGCATTTCTACTAATCTAAGGCTCCAACAGTCTATACTATAAACACATAACTATAGACAATGTGGTAACATTTATTCTTGTTACCACATATACTAACATCTATACAAATTTATACATGCAAACATCTATACTATAGTAGTTTTACAATAGTATAATTTCTGGAGGTTTGACATCTATACACATCTATACATGTTAACACACGAAACCACGAGTAATGTACTAACCCAAGACTCCAACGGTCTATACTATTCAAGTACCATAGTTGGATAAACTATACACTTTCAACATTAATACTATAGACGATCTCCCATAGTATAGTCATGGTGCACTGAGTATAATGTTTTTAGTCTACCAACCTATTTCAATTGGTGGTTTAGAAGATGAAACAAGGAAATCACATAGTTCACCTTTAAATGTGGTAACCAAAAGTATATTCATGTATTATAAACTTGTTGCTAATAATACATATCATTCTACAAGGTTATATACTATAAACACAGATGTGTAGTCAACTGAGTATTCTCATCACATCATTTGTTCTCCCATCCAGGAAGTGACAATCTGGGTTCTTCAAATTGATGTTGGGGTAAAAGATTAAACAATTCAACTACTTTATCTAAGCCGGTCACCGTGCTTACCAAAGTATATTCCTATACTATTGACAAGTTATTAATAGAACTCACGCCTTATACAACATTCTATACTATAAATACACATATATAGTCTACTCATTATCTTCATCACAACATTTTTTTTTTCAAAAACCACGAATTTAGAAACTGGATTCTTCAAATCGATCCTAGGGACACTGAAACGAACATGCATCTATAAAATAAAGTCATCAAGATTGTGCATCGGTTTTGGAGGGAGGGAGGGAGGGAGGCATGGAGGAGGGAGGTGGGAAAGAAAAAATGAAAAAACATAACCGGCACATGGTTCTAACCCAATCGCTGGAATTGCGCCGGTGGGAATAAGATTTTGTAATTATGAAAGGTAATTAGAAGGTTTACTTATCAGATGTTTCTTTAAATGACTTTATCTCTGCCGAGGAAAAAAAGGGTGGTGATTTCTTAGGATTACGGAACTAAGGGATAGAGATGGTTTATACACGCATAGAAAGGGTATACTGGCCATTATATGAAATATTATGTATCATATCATATACATGGACTTACTATGGATATGAAGTTTTTTTCGTTGGGTAATGGTTATTATCCCAAATTCCCCTTTTTATGAAACCATTTTTATTGTAATCTAACATTTAAAAGAAAATAGTTGGTGACAAAAATAAAATCATAACCTTGGATATTTAGATCAGATATGAATTAGTTTTTATTGGATCCGCGTTAATTTAGGGCCTGACTGGTTCTCCCGCCATCACACGCAGACGCAGCTTTTGCAGTTGGTAGCGGTTGTTAGCATTTTGCAACAATCACAGAAAATGCTATAAACCGCTTCAAATCGCTCTGAATCTCTAAAATTCAAAATCTGATTCTAACTAGCGTTTGCGGTTGTGGACGATTGCGGGAAAATAAAAAATATTTTTTTTCCAAAAAAACTATATAAATATAAAAATAAAATATTCAATTAAATTTTAAAATTAAAATACTGAAATATTTATATTATAAAATTTCCAAAAAAATATTTTCTTTGATATTTTAAAATTTTAATAGTGCAGTTTTTCAATAAAATTTATATTTAACATGAATCATATTTTAATATTTTGATAATTATATAAATATAAATATTGTTAATTTATTACTTAACTGTTGTTGTATTTGATGATAAACCAGTCATAAGTATCCCACAAATACAACAATTTTTAACCATTGAACCAGTTGTATAAATCTCTTACTAACGCTTCAAATTACAATCTTTAGCATCCGCAAACACCCGCAACCGCAATCATAATCGTTGTGTTATAACTTATAATCAGTCAGGCCCTTAATGCATATCGGGTTCGTATCTATTCTAATCGTTTTTTTTTTCTTGGATAGAGAGATATATTTTACATCCTAATCAATAAATCAGCAAACCAAACGATTACGCGTAGCCTGAAAGAGAGAGGTACGCACACGGAAGGGTAATTTCGTAAGGGCACGACTACCGCGAGTCTTTGTTTTTAATTACAAATCACCGTTCATTATTATCACAGGTGCGACTTTCAGAAAGAGTCACAGAACTCATTAATCTTTATGTAAAAGAAAAAATATCTCAAGGAGTTTCTCTCTCTCTTTCAAGATCCCAGACGCAGACGATTTGATGCAGGCCACGATGGGGCAAAGTCATGGCAGAAACATCACCGGGCCGTCACCGTTTGATTCATTGCCGGTGGATTGCATCTCAAGCATTATCTCCTTCACGACTCCACGAGACGCGTGCGTTGCGGCTTCTGTTTCGAAAACGTTTGAGTCGGCTGTTAAATCCGATAGCGTGTGGGAGAAGTTTCTTCCGCAGGAATATTCTAACCTGATTCCACCGTCGCGAGTTTTCTCGTCCAAGAAGGAGCTCTATTTCGCTCTATGCTATGATCCTGTCCTCATCGAAGATGGCAAAAAGGTATACATACATTTTTTTTTTTTGTAACTGATACATACATATTATATATATTTATTTATTCGGTTTAGGCTTGATAATAATGATCTGCGTATAAGGCTCAATTTGATTTAGTTCATATAATCATTACTGAGTTTTAACTATATGAGAATAATATTGGAACAAGCATTTCAATCTGGTTCCAGAGTCATTATGTGTATAGAAATCATTTTTTCTGATTGAATGATGATTGAAACAAAACTAATATGATAGGTTGTGGTTTGGAGATGTTGGGATTACTGGTAAACAAATAATCATATCTGCTTTATCCGTGTCATTCTTGGTATGTTAGAGACTTATGTGAATTAAGGATGTGATCAAACCTTTGGATTAGTTAATTTTTTCTGAATGTTTCAATTTTTTTTTCTTTTTTTTTTCGAAAATGATAGAGCTTCTGGTTAGAGAAAGCGAGTGGAAAAAGATGTATCATGTTATCTCCAAAGGAAGTGTCGATTACATGGGGAAGTAGTCCAGAATATTGGCAATGGATTACAATTCCTGAATCTAGGTACATAACTCCTTTTATTCCTGTTCCATTGTAATCACTCATTCTTATGATGATGATGGTTGATGAAGATGGGAAAATATAAAAAAAATATGATTGCAACGCAGGTTTGAGAAAATAGCAGAGTTAATAGATGTATGTTGGTTTGAGATTCGTGGCGGGATGCATACTCGTTGCCTATCTCCTGGAACTCGTTACTCGGTTTACATCGTGTTCAAGACAAAGGACGGGTGTCCTGGATTGGGAGATTCGCCCGTAGACGTTGGAGTTGGGTTGGTTGGACAAGAATCTTCTCAAAAGTTTATATACTTTGTTGGGCCTCGTGGTCGTGGTAGGAGAGATGTAACAAGACCACAAGCGAGGGTAGATGGGTGGATGGAAGCTGAGCTTGGTGAGTTCTACAATGATTCTTGTTGTGATGATATTTCGTTAAGTGTTGTTAAGACCGACACTCCTAATTGGAAAAGTGGTTTGATCATTCAAGGATTTGAATTTCGCCCGTCGAAAGCCCGGTAAATTGTTATATTATATTTCTTGTTATGGAAGAGCGGTTTCTAGATCAATGATTTTCCGGTGTGTGCTTGTTTGCTTCAGTTTCATGTCTAAGCAAGTGAAAAGCTTTGGTCTATTGTAATGGTTTTTTTGGGAGTTTTCAGTTTTTGGATTTTCATGTTTGTATTGTTTGATTTTGCCATTCTCACATGAACAAACTTCAATAAAGAAATCGTGTTCAATTTCTTCTATTCATCTAAATGTTTTGGTATGACAGTGCAATGATGCTTCATGTTTTAAGTAAAGTCTTCTCTAAAACTACTTTAATTGTGCTTCATATTTACTAATATCTTTTTTTTTTTGTAACTTCTTATTTAGTAATATCTTCTTCAGTAGTTTTTTTTTTTTTAAAAATCAGCTATTAGAAATGAATAGTTTTCTTTATATATCAAAAGAGTACTCTTCATTCTCAAATGAACAAATACCAATATATAAATTATGTTTTTTCCCTTATCATCTACGATGGTTTGTGAGTTAATTCTTTTTTCCAACAATACATCATTTGCAATTAAAATAAAACAAAAATGAATTGTATTGTATCATAGTATTTTCAAACCTTGCAAGTTTGGGTTAATACCAAAAAAAAAGTTCGCTTGTAATGTTTGTGAGGTACGGGTTCTTGATACTGAGTGTCCACCATTCTCAGATGAACAAATTCGATAAAAGAACTTTCGTCTCCCCCTATCATCTTCAATGCTTTTGTACACCTTTACTTAGCTGAGAATAATAGAGATAGATTAAGAAATAATTATCTTCAACTAATAGTTATATCAACCATTAATTGGTTAACTTAAAGATAACGATTTCCGTTAATTTTTTAACGGTTGATTATTTGAATCATAATTTTACGCAATTAATGATTAGTTAAGCAATAAATATGTGCCTATAATACTTAGATATTTAATTTGTCAACTGAAAATACTTGAGGAATTTAAAACATCAATCTCTTTTTTAAAAAAAAAGAATCATAATTTAAAAGAGTTTCAAATCAGATACAACTAATACACAGAGATTTTACTTTTGAAAAAGATTTTTAAGCTTTAACAGTAACATGTACAACAATACAAATAATTGTAGTTGTTTTGTATTGTTGATGTAGTTCATATTTATAAAATAACTTAAAATAATTTTGTAAAATAATTCCAAATTAAAAAGATTCTCAATTTGAACAAATATACAAAATACTTAATTCATGAAACGAATTTTGGAGTTTTATAAAAGAAAATAATATAATATAATTACATTTTATTGTATTGATGATGTATAATATATAATAGTCTAAAGTAAAGATAGCTACATATGATTGTCTAAAGTAGGGGTGGACACTTCGGTTATTTAATTTATTGGCTCGGTTTGGTTAATTCGGTTCTAGATTTTTGCAACTGAAGTAAGCCATAATTAGTTTGGTTTGGATCGGTTTCGGTTTGGCTTGTATTCGGTTTGGTCTTTATTTGGCTAGGTTTGTGCTGCAGTTATGTTTAATCGATTTAATTTAGTTTAGTTTTTTTAATAAAAATCATGTTTTAAAACATAAATGCATGGTCATGAAATCATGATGTTGGTGGCTATGAAAAAATAAACTATGTAAACTAAATCCAATAGAAAACGGAAATATTTTTTTTTTAAAAGCATAATTTGTTTTTAAAAACAATCAAATCAAAGTTAACTAAAACAAATTAAAATTTTTTAAAAAACATTGTTAGTAATACCTCTTAAAGAAAACTATGTAAATTGATTATAATATAAAACTGTAACAAAAATCTTTAAAACTAAACTTTTTATAAGAATAAAATCAAACCAAAGTTAACTAAAGTAAATAGAATTTTTTTTAAAAAAAAATTGTTAGTAAAATTAATAGTGACTTTAATGTTATGATTGTAGTATAATGTATATTGTATAAAATTAATAATGATTTTAGTGTTCAAATAATAACAAAAACACACTTGATTCTCGATTTGGTTTAACTCGGTTCGGTTTGGAGCAATTTCAATTCAACTGTGTTTGGTTGACTCGGTTCTGTTTATTTTGTTTTTTCCCACATCTAGTCTAAACTAGAGATGCAATGTACAACATATGATTCTCTAAATGATATGAAATCATCCATATGTGATTTTATAAATATGACGTACATCAACAAATGAAAATATAATTATTTGTATTATTATTGTACATGTCATTATAAAAGCCTAAAAATCTCTTTCAAAAAAAGAAAAATCTTGTATATTGATTGTATCTAACTTGAAAATGTTTTAAATTATGTTTGTTTTCAAAAAAGAGATTGAATTTTTAAATTCCTCAAGTATTTTTAATCGGTAAATTAAATACTAAAATATTATATATATGCAAATTTATTCTTCAACTAATCATTAACTATGCAAAATTATGATTCGAATAGTCAACTGTTAAAAAATTGACGGAAAAAATATATTTCCGTTAACCAACTAACCGTTAAATATTTTGTTCTTAATTTCGCATAATCAATTATTAGTTAGAGAATAATAATATACAAATAATACTTAAGTATCAAAACTGCTGATTTTTAACTAGTGGAAAAATAAAATACCCATTTTCCTATAAAATCTGCAAAATTTTCTAAGACTAGGAAAACCTACAAAATATTTTAAGAATAAAACCCACAAAATCTGCCGTGTTTTGTCTAAGACTAGGAAAATATAAAATCTTATTTTCCGCAGATTTTTTTCTGATTTTGTAAAATGCAATAATGTTAACGTGTATTTTGTTTTGTGTAATTCTAATCGGAAAGAAAGCAAAGAGCTGTGATTGGGCTAAGTAAATTTTTTTTTTTTGAAACAGGCAAACTAGAAAATTAAGATAACCTTATCTATAAGAATCATACTTCCAAGCGCTCAGAAACTGCCACGTAAGACTCATATCTCCTACTCCTCATATCATATCTTTTATTTCTTGTTCTCTCATATACCAAGTCCACATTGCGAAACAAACCCGAAAAGACAGAAGACGAGAGACAAAGAGATGGCTTCCACCTCCGCCGTATCACTGTTCATGCCACTCACCCAAAACCGTTCGCCGTCTTCGGCAAAACCCATTGCCTTACTCAAGCCATTGCCTTTGAAGTCATCTAAGGCCTCAGCCATGCCTTCAAGGAGGTTTCAAGTGAAGGCATCTAACCTGAAGATGGAGAAGGCTGTGAGCGGCTTAGCAGCAGCAGCTCTCACCGTTTCGATGGCGATCCCTGAGGTGGCTGAAGCCGCAGGCTCAGGAATCTCTCCTTCTCTCAAGAACTTCTTGCTTAGCAACGTCGCGGGAGGAGTGGTGCTCGCGGTCATCATCGGTGTCGTTGTTGGTGTCTCCAACTTTGATCCTGTTAAGAGAGGCTAAGGACGAGAGATATATGTCTGTCGTTATAGTATGGTAATGATTTGTACTTTCATGTAATGTTTCAACAATAAACTTTTGAATTCTAAAAAATAACTTTTGAATTCTTCCTCTATCTTATATTTGACGATTCCCCATTGGTCTCAAGATTACATCTTTTTTTAATCTCCAGAACTTATAATATTCTTAGAATAACATGAGAAAAAATTCGTCACTAATTCTGTCCCGAGAGAGGATCATCCCCATGTAGTAAGCCAAATACGCAAAAAGGCTTCTTTACCATCGCCCTTTGGAGCATGGATGATCACAACATCAGTTTCAAATTTTCCCTTGGGCCCCAGTCAACCTTCACCTTTATTCTGTACCGTTACAACGAAACAGCCTGACAATTTGTTAGCATTACTTGCTGAAGATATTAAAGCATTTACATTTTCAAGTAGTAAGGTAAAGAATTAGCCTGGCAATTTCAAGAATTTGTTATCAAAAGATGATGAAGTATTTTCAGCATTTTGAGCTAAAGAATTTGGTAATTTCAAACTCAGTTCCTATCTATTTGTGCTTTAATCCATATATTTAAAAAGACACTGAAGTTTATTTTAGTCTCTAAATGCTTTCTCCAATGTTAGCCAGTCTAGCAAACTTGGTGATCTCGTCGACTATCCCATCTGAAGTTTTCAACTATAAAATTTTATTGATACACATACTACAACTTCGTATTTGAATGGAGTGTTTTGAAATCTGACCTGGACCGCTATCAAATCGGCCGATGATCCAATATGTAAACCGATTTGGGTTTTTTAAAAGTTGATATTTGAAAACCTGAAAAAATCTAAAAAAATCTAAAAAAATCGTTAAGAATTAAAACCTGACTATCATTTGAATCACGGGCTTGAACCAATGTACAACTTTTTAATTATTTTCCTTTTTATTAAATAAGTCAGAGCCAACTAGAAACTCAGTCCAACAGTAAAAAAAAGATAGAAGACCTAAACAAACCTGTCACATTTACAAAATTCCATGGGCCTTTAGCCTAAGAGAGGAAAAACCATAGAGGAAGGTAACCGACGCTAGTCACCACATGTTCGGTCTACTCGGAAACATGTGTTAAGACAGAGCGCCACCAGGCACCAGCCACCATCTCCACTAGAAAAGCCACGTCGAAAAATTCGTCGGAGACGAAGATGCTTTAAAAAAAAAACCATTCAAGCAGAGCAGTCTTCACTGGATCTCAAACCGAGGGATCAAAGCTGGCGGACTTACGAATCACAGAAAGATCTTCAATCACCTACGATCAATTCAAAGATCTTCAATCTTATTGCAGGCTGTGAGTTGTTTAAGCAGTCAGAACGGGCCGGAGTCTAGATTGGGCTTAGAATTAAAAGCGAGGCCCATTACCTGGAGTTAAGTAAGTCAAGTTGGGCTGTTGAGAAGCCCAGGAAGAGTCAACATATAATTAGAGTTCGGGAAGCAGGTTCTAACGTCTGTAACAACCTTTCTTATCATCTTTTTCCTTTACTCTGTGTTTTTGGCGATTCGCCATTGTTGTACTTGAGAGCTTGAGTTAGTGGATTCCAGGTACCGTCCTGAAGGAGACGTACCCGGTGGTGAAGAGGGGAACTCTAAAACTTGCTTGTGTCATTCTCTTTACGCATCTTTTACTTTTGAGTTCTTGTGAAGTGCGGAGTCGCGATCTGTTATCACACGAGAGACGAGAGAGTTAGTGAGTGAATCGGAATACACAATAACGAGTGAATCGAATTCTTCTACAAGTGGTATCAGAGCCTCGTTAGAGGCTAAGGAGGATTCAAGGAGTTCGAGGACAGTGATCACGAAGAACGTCCAAGTTCTATCAGAGAAGACTCTCGAGAGGAAAGTCATCACAACGAATCAGGTTGATCATCTAAGATCAACCAAAAGCAAAGGAAGTGTTTTCTCTTATCAAATCTTTCGTTCAAGATTCGAAGCTTTATTAGTGTTAGTTCTTTCGATTTTCTGTGGTTGTGTACTCTTGTTATCTGCAGGTATCAAGAATCAAGGAAACCAACAAACCGGTAGATGGATCCAACACGGGGAAAATTCGAGATCGAAAAATTTGATGGAAAGGGAGACTTTGGGCTTTGGAAATTCAAGATGATGGCTTAGTTGGAAATTCAAGGGTTGTTATCAGCTCTAAGTGAAGAGGATGTATCAGAAGATGATACGGGCAAACAGGAAGAAGTAACGCAGGGAAAGAAGGTTTTGAAAAAGGAAGAGAAGGACCTAAGGGTCAGGAGTTTGCTTAGTATATGTCTAAGCGATGTTATCTTACGAAAGATTATGAATGAGACTACTGCTCTGGAAATGTGGAGAGCATTGGAAAGAGATTATCAGACCAAATCTTTGCCTAATAGGATATACTTGAAGAAGAAGTTCTCTTGCTACCGAATGGAGGAAGACAAGCCATTGGAAGAAAACTTTGATGGTTTCCTAAAGTTGGTAGCTGATTTGGCTAGCATCAAGATAGAGATATCGGACGAAGATCAAGCCATTCAACTACTTTCAGGTCTTCCCACGGCATATGAACCACTAGTCCATACGTTGCAGTATGGAACTGGGAAGGATACGCTTACTGTTAATGAAGTAATCACCGCTGCATATTCTAAGGAAGCTGAGCTGAAACAAAAGGGCTTAACTACAAGAGGGAAACAATCAGAAGGATTGTATACTGAGGCAAGAGGGAGGTCTACAACCAGAGGAGATCAAGGAACCAGCAAGCAGTGGAACAACAAAGGAAAGGGCAGGTTCAGATCAAAGTCTCGAGGGACATCAAATCCAAAACAAGACAAATCTTGTTGGATTTGCGGAAGTGAGAGCCACTGGAAAAGAGATTGTCCAGAACGCAAGAAACCAAATCATTTCGGAAAGACGAGTAACTCAGCAAACATAGCAAGGACACTACCAGGACCGGTTTCTCTAACAGCAAGTTTGGTGGTGTCAAGTGAAGAATGGGTGCTAGATTCCGGGTGCACTTTCCACATAACTCCCCAGCGGCATCTTCTAACAGAGTTCAAGGAGTTCGAGGGAAATAAGGTGATGATGGGAAACAACTCCTATTGCACAGTACAAGGAATGGGGAAGGTTACAATTGATAACAATGATGGAACAACAGTGATCTTAAATGAAGTTCGTTACGTTCCAGAAATGGGAAGAAACTTAATTTCCTATGGCCAACTAGAGAAATCCGGCTGTAGTTATAAAGGGAAGGACTACACAGTTCAGTTCTATAAAGGAGATAAGAAGGTGCTGTCAGGAAAATACTGCAATGGTCTCTACTATCTTCAGGGTACTGTAAGAAGAGCAGAGGGAAACACAGTTACAGAGAAGATTGACAACACAAAGAGATGGCACACCAGACTAGCACACATGAGTCTACGATCAATGGAGGCTCTAGCAAGAAAGGGATATCTAAAACGAGAGGAAATAGGAAGGCTGGAGTTTTGTGAAGCTTGTGCACTGGGAAAGGCTCACAGACAGAAGTTCCCAAAAGCAAAGCATAACACTAAAGCGATTTTAGACTACATCCATTCTGACTTATGGGGTCACCAAATACGGTTTCGAGCTTAGCAGGGGCTCAATACTTCTTAACATTTACTGATGATTATTCAAAAAGAGTTTGGATATATTTTCTTAAAGCAAAATCTGAAGTATTTGGTTATTTTGCAGAATGGAAGGCTCTCGTGGAAAACCAAACTGGAAGAAAGATCAAAAGCTTGAGGACAGACAACGGTCTGGAGTTCTGTAACCAAAGATTTGATCAACTCTGCAAGGAAGCTGGGATAAGGAGGCATAAGACCTGCCCCTATACGCCACAACAGAACGGTATATCGGAGAGGATGAACAGAACAATTATGGATAAGGTAAGGTCTATGTTAAGCGAGTCAGGATTAGACGAAAGCTACTGGGCAGAAGCAGCTTCCACCGTGGTATATATAATCAACCGGTCACCTAACTCGTCAATCCAGTTCGATGTCCCTGAGGAAAGGTGGTCAGGACATGAACCAGAGTATAGTCATCTGCGGAGTTTTGGATGCATTGCCTATGTACACCAAGTGAAAGAGAAGACTAGCTCTAGAGCAGCTAAAGGAGTGTTCTTAGGCTATGCAGAAGGAACAAGAGGATACAGGGTATGGCTTCTTGAAGAACAAAAGTTAGTTGTCAGCAAAGACGTAGTATTCAATGAGGAATTAATGTTCAAAGACGTCAAGAAGAGACAAGACAGCACAAGTGAGAACGCAGACTCACAAGTCGTGAAAAAGAAAGTTACATTCAGAGAGGACCTTGAGGATGTCTATGAAGAAATGGACTCAGGATTAGGTGGAGCTCTCACAGAAACTGCTCAAACGGAATCATCAGAAACCGGAGAAGTATCAATAGAGTCACAGGATGATGATTCAGACAGTGAAGAGGAAACAGAAAATGTGCAGGAGCCTGGGAGTTACGTTCTTGCAAGAGATAGAGTAAGAAGAACTATAAGACCTCCGTCGAAGTTTGAAGACGCAGATTTTCTGGCTTATGCTTTAGCTAGCTCAGAAGATATTGAAATAGAAGAACCAAAGAGCTATCAAGAGGCTATGGAGAGCAGGAATTGGAAACAGTGGGCAGAAGCGTCAGATGAGGAGATGGATTCTCTTGTGAAAAATCACACTTGGGACTATATCGAAAGACCTAAAGACCACAAGGTTATAGGGTGCAAATGGATTTACAAGCTCAAACCAGGGATTCCGGGAGCTAACCAGCCACCAAGGTATAAAGGAAGGTTAGTGGCGAAGGGGTATGCTCAAATCGAAGGAGTTGACTACAATGAGGTGTTCACGCCTGTAGTCAAGCACATTTCTATACGTCTCCTACTGGCAGCTGTTGCACACTTTGATTTAGAGCTCGAACAATTGGACATAAAGACGGCTTTCTTACATGGTGTTCTAAAGGAAAGGGTATACATGGAGCAGCCAGAAGGATATATAAAGGAGGGAAAAGAAAGAATGGTGTGTATTCTGAGGTAATCTATCTATGGACTGAAACAGTCTCCTAGAGAGTGGAATCATAGGTTCCATGAGTTTATGGTAGAGCAGAAGTATAAAAGAAGTGAGTACGATCCCTGTGTGTATCTCAAAGGGTCAAGACTTGAAGACATGGTTTATCTGCTACTCTATGTAGACGATATGCTAATCGCGGCAAAGGAAAAGAATACAGTTCAGAAACTTAAGGATCAACTAAAGAATGAGTTTGAGATGAAGGATCTCGGGGCTGCGAGAAGAATTCTAGGGATGGACATACACCGAGACAGATCAAAGGGTATCTTAGTTCTGTCTCAGAATGAGTATTTGGAAAAGGTTCTAAGAACTTTTGGAATGGAGGATTGTAGAGCGGTCAGCACACCGCTTGGGTCACAGTTTAAACTACAAAGTTTAACAAAAGCAGAGGAAGAGAAACAAGCATTAGAGATGGAAGACATACCGTACTCCAGTGCAGTTGGCAGCTTGATGTATGCGATGGTGGGGTCTCGTCCTGACTTAGCGTATGCTGTGGGCTTGGTGTGCAAATTTATGAGCAAGCCTGGAAAAGAACATTGGTCAGCAGTAAAATGGATTATGAAGTACATAAAAGGGGCTCTGAAGGTAAACTTAACTTTCTCAAGGGGAAATGATTTCAACATCAGAGGGTATTGTGACTCGGATTACGCCTCAGATTTGGACAAGAGCAGGTCAATCACAGGATATGTGTTTACTGTTGGAGGAAACTCAGTCAGCTGGAGGTCTTCTCTGCAAAAGGTCGTGGCACTGTCAACAACGGAAGCAGAATATATGGCGTTATCAGATTCTGTTAAGGAAGCGTTGTGGTTGAAAGGTATTTGCAAGGAAATGAAACTAAGCAACAGTGTGGTTGAGGTTCATTGTGATTCTCAGAGTGCGATCTACTTGGCTAAGAACTTTGTGTACAGAGAAAAGAATAAACACATAGCTACGAAGTACAATTTTATCAGGGAGGTGATAGCTAGTGGAAAAGTCAAGGTGGTGAAGATACATACATCGGTGAATCCAGCCGATATGTTAACAAAGGTATTACCTGGTGAGAAATTCGAAGGATGCTTGGCGAAGCTAGGCGTCGTTGAAGCCTAATAAGGCGGAAGGAAGCAGCGTCTCTGGAACTGAGGAGGCGGCTGAAGCTAATTTAATGTCTCGGAAGTCAGAGAGACAGATAAGAGTTTAGGGGTTCGAAGTGAGGACAAAAGAATCCCGGCAGAAGACCAGGACGGAGATAAAGGAAGCACCGGAAGGTGTTAAGCAATTTTGAGATTGGAAGTTTTTCGGCGGAGACAGAGGTGTTCTGTCTGATCAGGGTTCTGACTCTTTCTAAGGTGGAGATTGTGAGTTGTTTAAGCAGTCAGAACGGGCCGGAGTCTAGATTGGGCTTAGAATTAAAAGCGAGGCCCATTATCTGGAGTTAAGTAAGTCAAGTTGGGCTGTTGAGAAGCCCAAGAAGAGTCAACATATAATTAGAGTTCGGGAAGCAGGTTCTAACGTCTGTAACAACCTTTCTTATCATCTTCTTCATTTACTCTGTGTTTTTGGCGATTCGCCATTGTTGTACTTGAGAGCTTGAGTTAGTGGATTCCAGGTACCGTCCTGAAGGAGACGTACCCGGTGGTGAAGAGGGAAACTCTAAAACTTGTTTGTGTCATTCTCTTTACGCATCTTTTACTTTTGAGTTCTTGTGAAGTGCGGAGTCGCGATCTGTTATCACACGAGAGACGAGAGAGTTAGTGAGTGAATCGGAATACACAATAACGAGTGAATCGAATTCTTCTACACAAGCGAAAAACAAACACCTTAAAAAATAGGACTAAACTTGAAGATGCAAGAACCCAACCAAGAAAAAAGAAAACACAAGAGAATTGAATAGAGATGCAGTTAATCGTAGAAGTCTGAAAGACGTAGATCGAACGGAATTCGAAAAATTCGTTCTAGTTACATTATTAGAATATGTTTTGTATTATAATCGATAAGTTAGGTTTTTAGTTTTTTCAACAAAAAATTCATATGTTTCGGTAGATTATAAATCTATTAACAAAATTAGCTTGATGTGATTTGTCATTAGTTTATTTTTATTATTGATAATTTATTAATTTTATTATTTTTGGTTTATTTTAGATTTAATTTTTTATTTTATTATTCACATTAGACATTTAAATACTTAAAAGATTTTAAAATCTTGATATATCTAATCTATTAAAAGTGAAGTACAAATAGAAAATAACCCTTATTTTTCCTAAAAAACTACCATCTCATGCCACTGACTTTTATACTCAAAAAATATTAATTTACCATATTCATTTGTTATTTATTCTGATAAAAGTAACCGATTGTTTCTCAACCACTTGCTCCACTATTTAGTTTGTTATTTATCTTTCATATACACGATATCTGTCAGAATATTAAAATCATAACATAATAACCCCCATTCATAATTATTTTATCGCACATCAGTGTATCAAATAATCAATAAATCTGGTTCAACGTATTGTTCTTATATTACTATACAAACGCATTTGATTTGTATATGCTGCAAATAAACTAAAGTCTTTTAGAAATTTACACTAAATTTATAACAATAATTGAAATATAACATTAATAGCTTATGTATTATAAAATTAAATTAGCACATTAATAGCTTATACATTATATAATTTAAATGTCACATTAGCACGTGGTATAGTTTATATCACAATCTATATTTAACAAATGTTGTATCCAGTTTAAGAAAAAACTCTTCTACGGTATACACAATTGTTCTTATATCTTTTAGTATACAAATGGATCTGAATTTAGCAAATGTATATCCAATTACAAAAAAAATTCTACGATAGGCACACACTATGTCAACAACCTACTATATGGAAAATCAATTTTAAACTTAACTCCCACGTTTTTCTGAGAGGAGATAACATTATATTTTCCTAAATCAATACCATTCAGAAAATTTACCTATTTCTAAGCTAGCATTATAACTCATACGATAAATGAAAATATGAAGTTATCATGGAAAGCGTCAGAATTCTAAATATTGTGTCCAGTATTAATTATATGTAACAAAATTGTATATTTAAAACTATTTATGTTCTTATATAATTTAAATTTTATAAGAATAATAATATTAATAAATATATGTAGATATATGGAATTCTAAATAGAAATATTCTAAATGATGTCAATATAATTGTGCTTTTATTTTTATTGATCCTTAAGAATAAAGATAATGTATGTAGGTTTAAATTTAAAATATAGTTAAGTAATTACTATGTGTGTGTGAAAATTTTGTGAAATTTTGTTGGTATGTATTACCAACTGATAACAAATTAAATTACATATAAAATAAATGAATGAAATATATGTTGTTATATATTTACACTATATACAAATCAGAATGTATACGATCTATTTAAATAGTTACTGCAAAATAAATACTATATGTATATAAAATTCATTAACTTTTTGTTGAGTCAACCAAAAATGTTATTATAAAAAAGTTGAATTACATATAATATTTTTTTGATTGTTGAATATCCAAAAATGTTATTATGCAAAAGGGTTGGCAGAAAAGTTGGTTCTCAAATCCGAAAACCAAACTAAATTCGATCTAAAGTATAATTCGAATCCGAACAAAATCTGGTTAAATATTCAAATGAGTTCAAAATTTTGGTATCTAGAAAAATGTAATTGAACCGGATCTAAACCAAAACTACAGGTACCGAATATATATATATATATATATATACTTAGGTATATTAATATTTTTAGATTTAATAGCAAAAATATATATAGAATTTTAAAATTTTCCAAAATACTATAAAATATATACAAATAGGTAAAAGTAAATTACATATGATTTTGTTTTGATTGTTGAATATCCAAAAATGTTATTATGCAAAAGAGTTGGGATAAAACTCGGATTCTCGAATAAAAAAAAATAACAAACTAAATTCGGTCTGAAGTATAGTATCGAATCCGAACTAAAACTGGTTAAATATTCGAATGAGTTCAAATTTTTGCTATGTAGAAAAATCTAATTGAAGCGGATTTAAACCAAAATGCTACATGTATCTGAATATACCTTAATCATATTTATATATATACTTTAAAATATTAATTATTTTTATATTTAATATCCAAAATATATATAATATTTGAAAATTGTCTAAAATACTAAAAAATATATACAAATTGTCAAAAGTAAATATTTAAAATAGCTATACATTACTCAAATCACCAAAAGTACTTAAAATACATTGAATATCCATCTAAATACACAAGTAAAAAAAACTCTATGTTAAATTTATGTGTGTTTGTCATATGTTATTCAAATTCATATATTATATATTAATTTAATTTTTAAGTTTGGAGAAAATTAAAGTATATATGAATTTTTCTTTTAAATAACTTAAATGAGTTATCTGAATCCGAACCATAACTCGCAAAGATCTGAACCAAATTTGATAAATACATGAATAGGGTTGAATTGTTCAGACTCAAAAACCTAAAATCCGAATAGACCCCAACTGAACCCAAATGGGTACCGAAACCTGATAGATACCAACATCGTATAAATACTTTTGGAAAAATAATTAATCACATTTGATTTATAAAAATAAAATAAATACTCGCGCGGGCGCGTAGGTCAAAATCTAGTTTCTATTATACGTCATAACTTAAACTTATTACAAAATGGTTAAATAGTTTTATTTTCTTTTTCATTTATTCTATGTGAAATGAAATTAAAAAAATTGAAGTTAAATATTTTGTAAATGTTTTTGAAAATATTCTTTTTCAATAGATAATATATTGTTATATAATAAAATTAATTTCTTTATTAATTCACGATTTGCAAACAGTCCACCCAATAATCTTATAACACGATAAATTGTTCTGTTTAGTACTCGGATCGGATATTAAAATCATTGCCTTTAACAAAGATTCATATTAATGAACAAATTCGATAAAGAAACTTTCGTTTCTCCCTATCATCTACAATGCTTTTGTAATTTATACACCTTTACTTAGCTGAGAATAACAGAGATAGATTAAGAAATAAGACTACATTTAAATCTAACATGATATTCCCTTTAACGAAGATTCATATGATTGACTTTTTCTGAATAATATAAATTGTTTAGTATCAATGGTCTCTAGTAAACAAAGACTTCATAGGTAAGGCAAACACGACCTCAAAGTTAGTTACTTTGGCTGATTAGATAAAGGCAAAAACTTTTATTTTAATTTTCAAAAAAAAAACTTTATAGATATTCTTTGAAAGACGTTACGCTCACGAGGGTACTTTGGGAAACTTAAATTAAAATCTTAACAAGTAAGTCTTTCACGAATCACTATAACGGTATAAATATCTTCGTATCCCGACACAAGACAACACATCGTGTCTTAACATACTCTCTTTACTTAAGAAAACACATCAGATTCCAAAAGTTTCAGATTCTCGTAATTAGATTCGTAACGCTATGGATCAAATTCAAGTCGGAGATTCGAAATGCGACGGAGGAAGTAGCCGTAACGACGCGGTTGTTTCTGTCGGAGCGACGTCGCGGTTCGATACTTTGCCGGAAGATTGTATCTCTATGGTGATTTACCATACTACACCACGCGACGCTTGCGTCGTGGCTACCGTTTCGAAAACGGTTAAGTCGGCGGCTGAGTCCGATTTGGTCTGGGAGAAGTTTATCCCGCCGGAGCACTCGTCTCTTGTTTCTCGCTCGTCGAAGAAAGAGATTTATCTGTCTCTCGCTGATGATCCCGTTCTGATCGATGATGGCAAAAAGGTAAATTTGATAAGAATGTTAAAATTAGGGTTTTCGTTAAGAGTTACTAATTTTTTTAGTTACTTGGGAAACAATTCAGAGCTTTTGGTTGGAGAAAGCTAGTGGGAAGAAGTGTTACATGTTATCTGCGATGGATTTGAAGATCACATGGAGTGATTCTCCTGCGTATTGGCAATGGGTTACAATACCTGAATCTAAGTAATGTCTTTGTTCTTGATTTCTTATCCTCTGTTTTTTTTTAGTTGTGTAATAAGGAGCTTACTTGTATCGTACATGTCTTGAATCAGGTTTGAGAAAGTAGCGGAGCTTTGTAACGTCTGCTGGTTCGAGATTCGCGGGAAGATAAGTTGTAGTATGCTGTCTAAGGGGACGCATTACTCTGTTTACTTAGTGTTCAAGAGAGCAAGTAGTAGATCATACGGTTTCGACCACACGCCTATTGAAGCTGAAGTTGGGTTTGCTGGGAAGGAAGCTAAGAAGACGTTTGTGTTTCTTGAACCGGGTGATACGGATCCACGCAGTGGTTATGGTTACTCTGGTGTTTCGCTATCAGCGGTGTCTAGAGCGTTTAGGACGAGGCGACCGTGGATGCGGTTTCCGAGGGAAGAAGTTGAAGGAGAGAGGGAGAGTGGTGGGAATGCGGAGGAGCCGAAGGAGAGAGGAGATAAGTGGAGGGAAGTGAAGCTTGGGAGTTTTTACATTAGCAGTGAAGGTTGTGAGGAGGGTGATGAGGTTGAGATAGCTATCATGGAGACTCAGATGGGACAATGGAAGAGTGGTCTTGTTTTCCAGGGGATTGAGATAAGGCCAATGAAAGAAGAAGTAACGAAATGATTTAGTTTCGGACAAGATTTGAACAAAACTGTGTTCTTTGAAGTATGAATATAGTTTGAATCTTGTGTACTACTAAATGATTCTGGTCTTCCATGTCTAGAGTTTATTTAACAGTTTGAGTTTTTGATATGAAAAGCAAAAAAGTTATGTCGATTTTGTCTCTTGTGTACCTCTGATTGAATGGCAATAATTTAATTTTGGCAGCTAGCCAACTAATTGTGTCCACGACAATGTCATAGTAAAGACTAAAGAGAAGGAAGTAATATGTATATACTGAGGATCATTTAACCATTAAGATATAGGATGTACTAAGGTTTTAACCATTAAGATATGGGATGTACTAAGGTTTATAAAAAAACTTGAGTTAAAATTTAAACTATAATAATGTTTAAAATAATGTTATTTCTTCATACGATCGTATGAGATATATATATATATATATATATATATATATAAACACTTATTAAAATAAAATTATTTATTCATATAATTTTATAATCATTATAACTTATTATAAAAAACATTAGACCTTGATCACAATAATTTAGGTGAGATTTTTAACAGTTTTAGTAATTTATCTTCGTTTGGAAATTTTAAACTACAATCTATATAAAATAATTTAAATTTTTATTATATGGTGTAATTGTGTAATCTATTTTAATAATAAAAAATTAAACAAAAATGATATAAAATATACATATTGTTAACAAATCTTTATTATTTAAAATCATTAATAGTTATATATATCTTAATCACATTAGGTAATTCTGAAGGTTTATTTAAGGAAAGAATATATAGGAGAATTAGTTTGATATATTATTGAGTTTAATATGTCTTATATGAAACCAACATGCCATGTTTAAAACTATGCTTTATATGGGGTGTTCTAGAATCCTTTTAAACTGAAATAAAATGCATAGAGAGGTGCCACGTAGGATGTAGTTATTTTTAATTAATACAAATTTAAGGTTATAACTTTCCAAATGTTTCTCAATTAATATATATGGAATGTTGGGACTACACCAAAATTATAGTTTTTTCATTAATTTCTAGAAATTATTAATTTATCGATATACAAATTGAACCAAAAACTCAATTTGATACTATAAAATTATATTATTTAAGAGAGATTTTGTGTGTATATTAATTTGTAGAATATTAATTTAAAAAGATTATATTGTATAACATATGTTTAGTTGGACCAACATATTTCTCTATAAGTTATGAAAATCATTCTCATTGTGACACGTGGCTACAAAAAAATGTTGTAATGCTCCATGATTAATATATAGAAGATTTAAACTATTAATCAAAAATATTATATGTGAAATTTTTAATTGTTTATTAATTTATAGTCGTTTTTAAAAATTCAAAATATAACAATATAAAAAAATCCAATTCGTTTAAATATTTAATGTTATTTTTTAATTTATTTTCATAACAGAAATTTAACAAAGATAGTAGAGGCTATAATTTGTTGTTATCAAATCTTCATATTCAATCATTTATTATCATATATATATATATATTATAACCATATTAGGTAATTCCGTAAATTTCATTTAAGGAAATAATGAATAACATTAATAATAGTTTTATGTTTAGTTTAATAAAAATTATATTATATGTTTATATGGACCAACGTTTTCTCTAGTAAATTTGAGAACCATTCTCATGATGACACGTGGCTACCAAAACTTATTGTAATGCTTTTCAAATAATATATAGGGGATTTAGTAATTTGTTTAGTAACTTTTAATTTATATTGTAGTGGTACTTTTTAAATAAAAGCTACTCTTTTTTAATTTTTGTGTATTTGCCTAAATCATCATACATTTTAGAACAAAATAAAAGAAGTATAAACGAAGTTTAAACTCGTGAACAAGAATACTAGGCAGTGATCTATTTATTCTCAGAAAAAAACATGGACGTAAAATGAATTTCTACAAAAGACTCAAAAATCATTAGACGCAATACATCAGCATGTAAGATCTAAGCATTTACACATTTTGTATGAATGGAAAAATATTTCTTTTTTTTTTTTATGTTTGATGCTAGTGTCGTATGAGCATGTTGTTATAATGTAAGCTAGAAATGGGTTTTGCTGCCATTTTTAAACCCCGTACCTGGATGACTGATACAGGCTGAGCAAAGGAGTTACTGAAAAATCAGCTTCTTTTTCAGCTTGTGCTTTCTTCTATCCAGGAGCAGAGAGAGAGCCTTCCTCTATACAAGATGAAAAAGGAGCTGATACAGGTTGTGCAAGATAATCAATGTTGGTGGTCATTGGTGAGACTGGTTCAGGTAAGACCACACAGGTGACTCAGTACCTTGCCGAAGCAGGTTACACAACGAAAGGAAAGATTGGGTGTACGCAGCCTCGTAGGGTCGCAGCAATGTCCGTTGCAAAGAGGGTAGCTGAGGAGTTTGCTTGTCGTTTGGGAGAGGAGGTAGGGTATGCTATTCGGTTTGAGGATTGCACTGGGCCAGATACGGTGATCAAGTACATGACTGATGGTATGCTTCTAAGGGAGATTCTGCTTGATGAAAACCTTTCTCACTACTCTGTTATAATGCTTGATGAAGCTCATGAGAGGACAATTCACACTGATGTGTTGTTTGGTATTCTAAAGAAGCTTCTGAAACGCAGGCCTGACCTTCGTCTGATTTTCACATCCGCCACATTAGATGCAGATAAATTCTCTGGGTATTTCTTGGACTGCAACTGTTGGAATTGTGAAAGTCCATGTCCAACTCTATATTTTCATATTAGTACGATATTATCCACTTTGGGTCTTAAAGGCTGGTCCGCAGGAATTTACTTTTGGTTTCCCTTCCAAAAGGCCTCTTACTATTAGAGTTGGATTTCTCTTTATATATTAGACTCTCCTTGTCTAATTCTCCAATGTGTGACTTAGTTTGTTATCTCACATTCTTCCCCTCAAACTAAGAATCACATTCATCTTGTGTCCCACAGCTGACTTCCAGGATCTTTTTGACTAATTTTGCCACAGACCTACTCTTCCTACTCGAAGGGTCCCTTTCCATCTTAAAGGGTATTTTGGTCTTCTTGCATAACTTCGTCGAACCGCTCTGATACCAATTGTTGAAATTGTCAAAGCCCATGTCCAACTCTATATTTTCATATTAGTACGATATTGTTCACTTTGGGCCTTAAAGGCTGGCCTGCATAGATTTACTTTTGGTTTCCCTTCCAAAAGGCCTCATACTATTAGAATTGGACTTCTCTTTATATAATAGACTCTCCTTGTCTAATTCTCTAATGTGGGACTTAGTTTGTTATCTCACATCAACATATTTAAAATTCCTGGAAGAACCTTCCCTGTAGAGATTCTGTATAGCAAACAGCCAGAAAGCGATTACTTGGATGCAGCTCTGATCACAGTTCTTCAGATCCACTTGACTGAGCCAGAAGGCGACATTCTTCTCTTTTTGACAGGACAGGAAGATATTGATTCTGCATGTCAGTCTCTGTACGAGAAGATGAAAAATCTAGGTAAAAACGTTCCTGAACTCATCATACTTCCTGTTTACAGTGCCCTTCCTAGTGAAATGCAGTCTAGAATATTCGATCCTCCTTCTCCTGGTACACGGAAAGTGGTTGTAGCTACGAACATTGCAGAAGCTTCATTGACAATATATGGAATATATTATGTTGTTGATCCCGCGTTTGCGAAGCAGAACGTGTATAATCCAAAGCAAGGTCTTGAATCGCTTGTCATAACTCCAATCTCACAGGCATCATCGAAGCCAAGGGCTGGATGTGCTGGTCGTACTGGTCCCGGGAAATGTTACCGTCTCTACACAGAGAGCGCATACCTTAACGAGATGCCTCCTACATCAATCCCTGAAATCCAGAGGATTAATCTTGGAATGACAACCCTGACCATGAAAGCAATGGGAATCAGTGACCTGTTGTCGTTTGACTTCATGGATCCACCTCAACCACAAGCGTTGATCTCTGCTATGGAACAGTTTTACAGCTTGGGAGCTTTCGATCAGGAAGGTTTGTTGACGAAGCTAGGTAGAAAAATGGCTGAGTTTCCTCTCGAACCACCACTCTCTAAAATGTTGCTAGCGAGTGTGGATCTTGGGTGCAGCTATGAGATTTTAACGATGATTGCCATGATCCAGACGGGCAATATATTCTATAGACCGAGGGAGAAGCAATCTCAAGCAGAGCAGAAGAGGTCAAAGTTTTTCCAGCCTGAAGGTGATCACTTGATGTTGCTAGCTGTGTATGAAGCTTGGAAGGCTAAAAACTTCTCAGGTCAATGGTGTTTTGAGAACTTTATACAATCGCGATCACTTAGACGTGCCCATGACGTGAGGAAACAGCTTCTCAGCATTATGGACAAGTAAGTATCTGAACTAATTTGACCTTAATTTTGTTTGGTGTGGTCTGCTTTGAGCTAACTAATCTAAACCAGCATTGATGTTAATTTTGTTAGTGTCTGACAAGTCGAGTCTTTTAATAATGTCTGATTTTGATTAAATAACTAAACTAACATAGACCTTAAAGCTTGTAAGTGTGATACAAGACGAGTCTCTTAAAGTCTGGTTTTGATTAAGTAATCTACTACCCAAACTAGCATTGACCTTAAGTTCGTTAGTGTGTAACACTACACACTAGCAAGTAAAGTGTGAATTTGATTAACTAAAACTAAATTGACATTTAAGTTTGTTAGTGTGTGAAAAGTCTACTAACGTGTGATTTTTGATGTTTACAGATATAAACTAGATGTGGTAAGTGCTGGAAAGAACTTGATGAAGATAAGGAAAGCAATCACAGCAGGATTCTTCTTCCATGGAGCAAGAAAAGATCCACAGGAAGGTTACAGGACGCTGGTGGAGAATCAACCGGTTTATATACACCCGAGCAGTGCATTGTTCCAGAGACAACCAGATTGGGTGATATACCATGATCTTGTGATGACGGCCAAGGAGTACATGAGAGAAGTGACTGTGATTGACCCAAAGTGGCTTGTTGATCTAGCTCCAAGGTTTTTCAAAGTGGCTGATCCAACCAGAATGAGCAAGCGGAAGCGCCAGGAATGCATAGAGCCTCTGTATGATCGTTATCACAAACCTAACTCATGGCATCTCAGCAAAAGACGTGCTTGAGAGACTTAGAGTTTTATTCTTCCTTACTTAGTACTACGGAACACTGAAGGTTTGTGCGTGAACAAAGAGAAAGCAAGAATATTTGTATGAGGCAAGGAGAAATCAAGAAGAAACAATTAGAGAAGTAGACGTTTATTGGATAATCAAAGGGGGACTACAAAGTTTGGTGTATAAATCCTAATTCTAGCCGCCTAGATCTAGTCTCTCAATCTATAAAGTGTCGATCCCTTATTCTAGGGTTTGGGTTCCCCTTTTATAGGTGTAGATGTCGGCTTGCATTAGGTTAAACCCTTCCATATTGTCGAATATGGAAGAATTCCCTTAAGTGGAGAACTTCCATTTTGTCCAAGGGCCGGATTTTGGAGCAGGAGTCGGACCCGGGGAATCTGGTTGCAGGGTCCGGGATCTGGGTCTTTTCGGAGCAGGGGTCTAGAGGTCGGTGTCCAGTCCGGGAGCTGGAAGAATCTGGTACATAATAATATAATAATATAGTAATACTTAAAATTCATGTATCTCGACAGACAAATAAAATTAAGTACATAATAATATAAGAGAACCAAGAACTCAACAAACATATTTTATTATTCTTCCCTCCTGATTTGTATTTATGTTTCTTTTTTTTCTATTACAACAAAGTATGCAAACATTATTATAATCAAAGTTATACGAATTATATTAATATAGTAATAACTCTCATATTAATATAAGGTTCCGATTTTAATTTACTGTTATAATAAATCTTGATAACTATAATTTTAAAGGACTTACCATATATTTTTTATGATTTTAAATATAAAAATACTTTCATAATTTCTAAAGGTGATAACTCAGCTATAATACCACAATTTCATTTGAAAGGTTATTGGAATTTTTGAAACTAATATATTTGATTTGTTGCATTCATTTGCCACATTTTCAAATATAAATATATTTAAAATAATTTATATAATTGTTTCTGTAGTATCATATGTATTTATATGTATATTATCTATTTATATAATATATTTTATAATCTTTAAAATTTTCTATAAATAAATTATGTTAATTCATCTATATTTAAGATGTTTAATTGTTTTTGGAAATATAGATTAGATTAGGTAAGTTTAGGATTAGTTTCCTTTTAAAAAAAATTAATTAAAAAAAAACTATCAACCAATCAAATTATAACGTTTAATTGGAGAGCTCTCCTATGAGTGACAAGTCAGCATAAGTTACTAAATTGACTTCTCATTTAATATATACTAGGTGACCCACCCGCACCCTGTGCGGGTATAAAAATATAGTATAATGCTGAGACAGAAGTATCTATTGAGTTCAAATGTGGGACTTAGTGGAACAAGTGAGAGTTTCAATGCTGAGACAAGATTTGCGCAAATCTCTAGGATGCAGTAGAGGTGGGCAAATCGTTACATTTTCGGTTTGGTTTGTTTATTTCGGTTTTAATATTTTTTTTTTTCAACTGACATAAACCTAATTTAGTCTGGTTCAGTTGGTTTATGTCCAGTTCAATTTATATTTAGTTCGGTTTGTTTTTGGATCGGCTTAATTAGGCTCTTTGTCGCTTATTTTTTTTTAAAAAAAAATTAACATCATTAGTATGTTTTTAATAAAAGTTAACTATTAAAAAAACAAATGTAAGTAAGATATACTGGAGACAGTGACATATTAAAAATGTGATAAAAATCTCATAGATATCACAATCCCATAGAAAATGTGATGAAAGTTTAAATATAATTCATAAGTAATATAAAATAAAAAGAACATTTATGAATTAAAAAATCCCGTAGAAACCTGCTAAAAAAATTGTCATTATTTTTTAGCAATTGTACAATATAAAATAATTTAATAGATTTCTAAATTTTATCGAGACGAAAATAATATTGAATTTGCATATCGCTATTGAAACAAACTGAAAAATGTTTTGTAATCAACTACAAACGGTCTTTCATCTGTGTTATTTATTTGTTAATATAAAAACAAACAAATGTATATATATAGTAAATCACATTTTTAAGATCCATATTTATATATATATATATATAATTAAGATAATAGTTTTGGATTTTCTAAATCTCAAATCACCATTATATTTGTGGTTTTCTAAATGGATAATAGTTTTAGGCTTTTCTAACTCAAATCACCATTATCATATAAATTTGTTCAAGGTAATTGATAGCAAAATAAGGTAATCATCATATTTCCGAATTAACTAATTAGGAAATA